GTACGGCAATGGTTCCATTTAATGAGAAATTGATATATCTATTCTGAAGTCGTTATGCAAACCATTCCTTGATAGGTGCTGCTTTCCAAACACATGACAGTCGATACTCTATTGGAGGGCCAAGGCACGAGTTTCTATTTTTTTTTTTTTTTTTTTGTATCGCTTACTCAGGTGGTGGAACCGATACCAAAATTCAATACCATTTAAGCTTTAGTACCCTGGTGGTTTATTATTAAAATCTGTTTGGTACATGTGTACTAAAATAACAATTTCTTCCCTGCTTTTAAGTTTTGTTAATTTAAATTTAACGCAGACGATATTTAAAAAAAAAAAAAAAAAGGGTAAGATTTTTATGGACTGAAATCTGGATCAGAATCAAATTTCATGCTTTCTCCACATTAATTGATCATCCTAGAATGTTCCATGTTCGGTATCAGTCGTTGGTTACAGGTCGGAGTAAACAAAGAATTTTCTGAAACAACTTCATAAACAATTTACTAAGCGTACCTTAGATGTGGTACAAGGCCGAGACTGTGGAGCATCCAGTAAAGATCAATCACACTATTCGGTCGTAAATAATCTATCGAAAGAAACTGTTTAACAATTATATTACAGCGAAGGGCCTATTATATATATATATATATATATATATATATATATATATATATATATATATATTGAAGATTATAGATTACAGTAATGTCGCACTTATTAACTAAAAGTCGCACATGGATCAGTTATTTAAATTACAATAAACGTGCAATCAATTTACAAATACATGAATTATTCACACAAAACTAATGCAAAGGTTAATGATTTAAATGGCGAGACATCCATCATCGCAAACAATTCAAATAGTACACAAAAACCTCCAGATCCGTTATGAATTATTACTGTAATTATTGAACAATATAGTTCATGCCACTTTGACAGTAAAATTTACCAGTAAAAATTTGTTCAACACCATATTTGGTATAAACGCAAACATTTTAAAAATTTTAAAATCAAACTCAGCGTTGCTTTGGCGCGTTCAAAAACCAATAACTCATTTTCAATAGCATTTCGGATACAATAACACATATATTTTCGATGTCCTCTTATTACTAAGGGAAAAAAAACAAGAACAACATCTATTATATACCTGAAGATGTCTGTAGGAACAGACGAAAGCTTGTAGTAAAAATAACAACTAATACGGCAGAAATTTATATAAACAAGGATCAATTCATTCATAACGGATCTGGAGGTTTTTGTGTACTATTTGAATTGTTTGCGATGATGGATGTCTCGCCATTTAAATCATTAACCTTTGCATTAGTTTTGTGTGAATTTTGTGTATTTAATATATATATATATATATATATATATATATATATATATATATATATATATATATATATATATATTTTTCTCTACTTTTCTCTGGTTTCTTTACTTTCTCGTCGTTTCTGTAGATTTCTCTGCTTTCTTTCGCTTTCTTTTCAAACTTATTTCCTCATCAGCCATCTATATTATTTATAAAATGGTAAATATTCTTCATATTACATTCTTAACTCCTCTAAAAGTTTCCCTGGCAATTTGCTTTGTCAAGATTCTCCGTCCTTGTTCCATAACCTTTCACCGTGAGGGGATCGTCAAATACCGATCGCCTCTGGCTTTCCCTCCAGATTTTCGCCTTACTTGAAAGTCTTATGCCGAGAGCATAATGACACCGTTGGACAGAGGAAGTTTTCAATAATATTTAATTAGAAAATCTCCGAACAGCCGTCGTCAGTTTTGAAATCAGATTTTTCCTTCTCCTAGATGGAATGTTAACCAATTGCTATTTAAACACATAAACCGACCTTGTGCCATAACCTACCACCGTAGTGAGATTGGCAAGCCGCAAATACCAACCGTTGAAGACCTTCTCTCCAGACAAAAGCGTTCTATTTAAGTATAAAGGACATTTCGTCCACTTCCTAAATATAATATTAATGACCGTCTACTCCAGCTTTCCGAGCACATCCGTCTGCTAGAGCGGCTAGCCAATCCCTGCGGCAGACGCCTGCTCAGTCACATTTATGTTTGTTCAACACAGGGCCATCTGTAGTTTATATGGCAACCCTGTTGAGCGGACTTTATTTTCAGTTTCCGAGAGAGAGAGCGTGCATCATTTGGCGTGAACAAGGACAATAGGCTCCAACACTCGGTCACGATGACTTGTGACTTTGTTCTATCACCTCGATCGACGAGTACCCAATTTCACTCACAAGACTTGTGTAAAAAAAAAAAAAATCCCGACACAGTTTTCAGGCATATTTCAAAGGTGACACATGCACCAATCTCTCACCCACGGGCTGATAACGTCAATGTGAGTTTCCTGGGATATCGACCATAATGAGATTTGAACCCTGGCCTCGTGATCGGAAAGTGAACTTTCTAACCACTAGGCCACGCGCCATATAAAATAAGTAATTTTATATCCTGTTTCTTATCACGTTAATGTCGGGATTCTTAAAGTATACAGACGACTCTTGTGTCATATTTTTATTTTTATGGTACGCCTAATAAACACCTTCGCATGACTTCGGTCATAAAATCATTGTAAACTTTTGTATCAACTTACATTCTTAATCTTAAAAACTAACCCAAATGATAATAGTTTTGGTCATTCAATTCATTTATGTTCTATGGCTTTTAACTGATATACAACAATTTTATCGTATTATTAGTTCTTCTCTTTCGCACTTGTTTTCGTATCTTTTTTCATCACAACATTAAATACCAAATACTGTATCGGTTAATAATGTGAGTCCTTAACACGATGTTTCCAAACAGTGCGGCGCATTTCATAGGCGGGGCGGAAGAGGATAGCCGGTGAGGCGGAAGAGGATAGCTGGTGAGGCGGAAGAGGATAGCAGCTGAGGCGGAATGATTAGAAAACAATCAAAGATTACGAAAACAGTTTTTAAAGTTTCATATGCCAAAAGTAAATAGGATTTCAAAATTTAACCCTTTCCGCCTTGCGTTTCTGAAGTTTTAACCTTTTTACCTGAACTCATGAGTCAAAATTCGCAAATAATTGCCATGTAATGGTTTCACGGTAGATATAAAAATAGTTAAGTGTTTATCTACCGTTCAACCGGTGGCTGGGCATTAAGTCGTATTTATTTATACTTTCTGTATTTTGATCCCAGTTTGGAAGTTCACTGTTTACCCATAGCTGGGGCACTAACTGGTACGACCATCCCGGGTCATGGGGGGGGCTGGGAACAACAGCAATTAAGAGGTGGGCCCATGCTCTTCAAAACCTCCTGATCAGGGGTCTTCCTGCCGGTTGTAGTTTATCGTCATACCAAGTACGGTAACCAGTTGGAAGCTATGCAAGACATCCGTAAGATTTGATCCGTCTTAGGTTAACGCTTTGACCCCTGCGTTCAACCCTTCTGCCTGAGCTCCTGAGTCAAAATTCGCAAATAATTGGTATGTAATATTTCACGGTAGATATAAAATAGTGTTTACCCACCGTTCAAACGGTATCTGGGCATTAAGTCATTTTTCTTTACCACTGTTTGACCAGTGGCTAGGCATTACGTCATTTTTCTCAACCAGCGGTAAAGCGATGATCAGGGCTCAAAGGATTAAGATGTCATGAATTACTTGTAACTGCATACATGAATCCCAGTTTAAATAGTCATAAATGATTATTGACCGATTTTTTCATTGATATTTTTGCATTATTATTAAGAATATAGTAACTGGGTCAGAAATTGGAAGACATCTTTTGGCATGTTTTTTTTTTTTTTTTTTTTTGGGTTTTTTGTTGTTGTTTTTTAAATGATTTTATCACATAAAATTTAGCGAGATTCGTGTAATTTTTTCAAAAATTGACAATGAATGGCATATATGTGATTTCCGTTAACCGTGGATTCAAAGAGTTATGCCTCAGCCACTTGGTGGCGGTGTAACATGTTTTGGCTGTACAGGCTCATTACGGGAGTGACGGTCAGGTCGATTAAACGAATGCATTTGAAGATCTTTTCTTTCCTTCGAGTCAGTTTCTCCCCGGCGTTTCTTCCCTCCCCAGTCGAACCCTCGGCGTAAATCGCGTCTCCAGCCTGAGTGATCGATAGATAGTTGGCGACGTCTTCCCACCTCTCAATGTCTACCGACCTCATGTCCATTTTGCAGACGTCTTTGAATCGAAGCTGACAATAGAATCAAGCCGACATTTTTAGCCCTCTGAATATTTTCAATTCAGATTTTTTATTTTTCATTCTTAAAGTTTTTTCATTAACCTATTAATCATTTTTTGAGGGTGGGACAGTTAGTGACAAAAATAAGTTTAGCACCCGCTCCGTAAAAAAAGAAACATAGCAATGGAGGTCTAGATCAGAACTGATAAATACAAGGAATGTTATGTAGAAAACAGTTTGATGCCAAATTAGCTATTTTCAAACCAAAGACATCTTTTGATACTGTAATTTTTCATTGACAATGAATGGCAAAGATTTCCGTTAACGTATTCGGGATTCAATGTCCACGTCAGACATTTGCAATCAGTCAGAAGTTCCATTTTTGGGCCCATATTTCCTTCGATTCGTAACTGATTTGCCATTTTGCTTTTTTCACCGGTAGACAGGTAGACAAGTATAAGATCCAGTCTTTCCTGCTATTCAAACCAAACGTGATACATGCTTGGGTGATCATGCCTCTTTTGATTCATGACTGACAATGCAGAAGATTTTCCCGCAGCCCATTTCTTTCCGTGATACACGCTTGTCTGTCCTGCTATGCCATCCATGATACACGCTTGGACCACCATGTCTATTTCGATCCATGACTGACTAGGCAGAATATTTCCCCGCAAATATTGCTTTTTCTTTCTCCGGTATAATATTTGCCTTCCAAGGCTACATGACCCACTGTATCCTCCTATTCAAACCATATTTGGTGGTGGTGGTGGGGGGGGGGGAGAGATGAATTCATACCTTCCATAGCGGTATATGCGCTTAAGT